GTGTGTGTGTGTGTGTTTCCCTCTGAACTGTCTTCCAGAATGCCTTTTGATGGGATACATATGTATTAAATGTCTGTGTGATTATGCAGCAGCTCTGTTACCGTCATTACTGTGATGATCACTGTATTTAAAAGGCACCATGAACACAGCACAGCTCTCCAGTCTTCAGTTAGCTCTAGCTGTCTGTCTTGCTGTAGCCACCGTAGCCATGACTTGCTATGCTAACATTTGCTAGTGGAGCTAAAGAAAGCAGCGAGTTGTGTGGGTGTTAAGGCGTAACGTTCTGTGTCAGAGATGGCACACTGTTGACAAGACTGACAAAGAGGAAGCTTCTTATCTCACATTACGTTCTTCCTCACAGATCAGATGTTAGTAGTAGAATAGAGACGGTGTGCAGGAGGGTGAAGGGTGCTACTGCCGATATAACAGAGCCACACTCATTCTTCTGTCAAAAATCAGACCTCCATCAGGTCATATTCATGAACCAAAACACCGTAAGAGAGTAAAAGTGATTGAGAGTGTGCAGGATATTGTGCACCGGCTGTCCATGCTGGTTTTCCTGCAGTGCTGGTGGGGCGGCAGCAGCTGCGTTCTGTGGCGAGTTGTTAGAAAATGTGTGGGCTGTAGAAAACCATAGACGCAGGTGTTTCAGTGTGCATCATACACCACTGGAGTGCATTGCCCTTCGTCATCTGCTCCTGATAATGTCTCAGATGCTGCTGGTTGGTCTGTCCCCTGTCACAGTATTTGGTATCTAACTGGTGTCCGTCCCTCCGTCCCTCCAGGTGGTGGTGTCGCTGACAGTCTACGGCCTCTTCATGGCGGATGGATTCTCCAACGTCCTGTGGGAGAAGCTGGACGACTACGTCTACTACGTGCGCTCCACAGGCAACATCATCGAGTTCCTGTTCGGCGTCATCATGTTCGGAAACGGCGCCTACACCATGATGTTCGAGTCGGGCAGCAAGATCCGCGCCTGCATGATGTGCCTGCACGCCTACTTCAACATCTACCTGCAGGCCAAGAACGGCTGGAAGACCTTCATCAACCGCCGCACGGCCGTCAAGAAGATCAACTCCCTGCCGGAGGTGCGCGGGGACCAGCTGAGGGACATCGAGGACGTGTGCGCCATCTGCTACCAGGAGTTCGCCACCTCGGCCCGCATCACGCCCTGCAACCACTACTTCCACGCGCTGTGCCTGAGGAAGTGGCTCTACATCCAGGACACGTGTCCCATGTGCCATCAGAGAGTTTACGTGGAGGACGAGAGTCGAGACAGAGCCGCCTTTTCTAACAACAACGGGGGCTACGCAGCGCCGCAGGACGCCGCTGCTGCAGCCCCGCCGGCCCCGGGGGAAAACGAGCACGAACAGCCAGACGGCGAGCTGCCGGCGGATGGAGCGGCAGCCGGCGCCCAGGCTGCGGGAGGAGCCGGGGAGCTCGACAACGAGCTGCTGGAGGACAACGACAGCATAGAGTACGACGAGGACGAGTGGGGGACTCAAAATGGCAGCACGCCAATAGAAGAAGACTATATCAATGATGACACAGACTCCACGGAGGACTGACGAGAAAAGATCTATAGAAAAAAATATACATATATCTTTATTATATTTAAGTTAAAAAAGAATTATAAAACTTCAGCAGCTTAATTTGTTCTTGAAAAATGTCAGGGATGTCATTCTGTTTTTTGTTGTTAGTTTCTTTTTGTTTGAGTTTGGGTTTTACTCTACAAGGGCTCGTGGAAAGAGTAACTGCTGCTCTCATTCTGTGTGTGTGTGTGTGTGTGTGTGCGTGCGTGCTGGGCCTACATGATGTAGACCAAAAACTCATACTGTTGGTTTTTTTTTCCACTTTATCCCCAAACTAGTGGAGATCCTAATACAAATCTTGCTTTGCGGGCACAGCTGCCTCGACACAGTTTATTTCCCAATGCCTCAAAGCTGATACACATCAGTGAGTTGAACTAAATAATCTGCAGCGTATATATTTTATAACATTCTGCCTGGTTGAACGAGACATTTTTCCCCCAGAGAAAGAGAAAAGAAAGGAACAGAAGCCACACTTCACTTAGATCACAACTTTGTTTAGGTTTTGTCACTTATGCAGCCCAGATGTGTGTTTGTGTGCGTGCCTGCCGACATGTAATGTCTTAGATGATGTCTTAAAGATGCAGTTTGTGTTCCCTAGCCGTGTATTATTGGGGAATCGCTGGCGTGTGTGAGTTCATTAACGTCAAATCTGTGGCGCGACTAAACACTTTAAAGCTTCCATCGGTCTGTAAGTCAGGATTTGGGAGTTTGTAGAAAGATGCGTTTTGAAACCTGCTGTCTCTACGTTCTCCAGCTTCCAAAAATGATCGGTTAACATGCTTCAGGGTCACTTCTTTGCCGTGTGTCCCCATCAGTTACGCTCACGATTCGGGCCTCGCTTGCTCTCGAAATGTTTGTCTGACTAAAACAGCCTCGACTGCTCCCACATCCTGACTGGCAGAGTGATCACAGCTCAGGTTTGTGGCACACTCGTTTAACATTTTTGTCCTTAACGAACTTAAAACTGAATATTTGTGAACTTGTCCAGAGACAGAATGAAGCAGTTTTCTATGGACTCTGCGCCAACCAGAAAAAAACAGAGGTGTGTCTGATTTAAAAAAACAAAAACAAAAAAACAATGACGTGCTACTGTAATCACTGATATACCTCTATCATTACTTACTACTGGTCTCTTGTGTGACCTGCTTACATTTGTGTACGTTATTGTACATGTAATAAGACAAAAACGTGCACACATTGTCCCTTAGGATGAGACAAGAGTTTGTTTTCAATTAGGTTTTGTTTTCAATAATTCTACTTTCCACATTTCTCTTCACATTGATTCAGTATTTGGTTTGTTCCCGACCCAGATGTAATAAAAGCACTGGTGTGGGGTCGCAGTGTACGCCACATTTGAAGAGCTCTATTCCAAAACAAAAATATGTATTGGGTAAGATGATTATTGCTTGATGCTCACAAACGTACAGTATGAAAAGGTGCCACTTGTTTTGTCTACCAGGTACTTTCACTTCTTTCAAAAGGATAAAAAAAATACCATCATTTGTTTTACATGTGGGTTTTTAGTCATGTTGTAAGAGCGGAGGTCCTTTCTGGTCGTAGCGTTGAGTCAATGCACCTTTTCTGTTTGTAATCACTGGCACAGACAGGAGCTCTTTTCGTTCTGTCCAACTCACCATGACGACTGCACCTTTCCGAAGGCTCAAACTGTGCTTCTAGTCTCAGGGTCCCACTGCGTGGCTGGAAGACTATTTTCAATATATTGAGGAATTTCCAGGCCTAAAAAAAAAAAAAAAAAAAAATCCCAAGGAGCGTCAGAAAAGTCTGGAAAAGTACAGGCGTGTGTTTTTTTTTTTGTTGCAGTAAAATTATGACTGTGTCTGAAGTTGCAAAGACATTTCAATCTGTGATATTTGTCATAATGTTGAGCTACATGAAGAAGTTTCTGTGCTCAGTTTTGCAGCAGGAGTCCTGCTGAACATTGATCCAAAACCTTTTAACTACTGGCACGAAGGAAAGGCCCGGAAAATATTTAGGGGCCATGTTTTCACCTTATTTGACAGTACAGCCCGGCCAATACAGTGACTCACTGACTACAGAGATCTTCATTAAGAATTTGTATTAAAAAGCTTTCAAGCACAACTCCTGCGAGTATTGCATTGTTTAGACTTCCACAGCCTGAACGTCTTAAGGGTTTGACTACAAACTCATGCTCATTACTGTTGTAATTGCTGGTTGCTGCGAGGAATCCATTAAGTTCTTGTTGATAATGAGAAAAAAAGATGGGGTCTAATTTGATTAGAAAGCTGTGCTTTTCGACATGTTTCAGCTATGAAGGACTTTGATTATTAGTTTGATTGTTCTGAAAGCTTTTTAAAAGGTAAAAGCTGTTCATTTTGCCTTTTGTTTTAAAAAGAGATTTATGTAAATAAAATCATCTTTGATATTGCGTTTGGACTGTATCTCGTATCATTAACACCACCTTTAAATGAACCTTGTAAAGTACATGTTGGCACACAGAAATAGCAGTGAAGATCATATACTGTGGCCTTCAGTGTGTAGAGATGCAGATGACTCACTGGGCCAGTAGATGGTGCTATTGCATTATCTTGTGTTCATCTCTCAGTTCATACATTTGAAATTAGTTTGTAGTTTTGGGGGACAGTTTCTGAATTCCCAAGAAAGCAGTAAAAAGCTGATGCTCTGCTAAATTTAAGTCCGCCTCCACAGCAATACAGTTTTTAAATGGTTTCTCATAAAATTGCAACCTTCATCCAACAAACAAGATTTATTGAGTAGTTACCTACATGACTTTGTGGTAACACCTTCTGTGTGTTAAACTGGCAGTATAAGAGGTAATTCAGCTGCTTAAAGGTCCAGTGTGTAACATTAAGGAGGATCTATGAGCAGAAGTGGAATATAATATTCATAGATATGTTCCCATAAGTCTATAAGAACCTGAAAATAATATATTGTGTTTTTGTTACCTTAGAATGAGCTGTTTTTATCTACAGAGGGAGCGGGTCCTCTTCTGTGTCTGCCATGCTACTAAACCCTACACACTGGTCATTTAACAGTAGAAGACAGACACATAGAAGTAGGCTGGGAGTGCTTGAGATGAGTTGCACTTTTAGGCATTCAGCTTTGTCATTGCTTACATTGCGAAAGGATTCCCTGCACACCACAAGTGTGTGTTTAGCTGGTTAGACTCCTGCAGATGGGTGCGGCTTTGTTGGGGGGTTATGTGCTATTATATGTGATTTTGGGTTGTCCCAGATGAAAGTAAAGAATAGTTGGTAAAAATCTATGATTTTCAACCAAAACATCGAGTCTAGATCAAACTGTGAGACACTGACGGCTGGTTTAGACCTCTGGACACCAAAGACAGTGCACAGACATACATATAATCACACTGGCATGTATTTATGTACACTAAGCGTGCCAGCTTGATGACCAAAGCTTCTGTAATGCTGTATTTTGACAACATGAGAACATGAGAATGGCACAGACGGATCATGTGAACGTGTCTCGGTGATTCAACAGGCACAGACACAATCTTGTTGTTTCACTTACAAGTGTGGATGGTTTATTATAAGACAGTGTTCCCCCGGGCATAGACATGTAACTCATCAACTCGGAAAGTGACATTTCAGTAACATATACAGGTGAAGCCAGACTCTCAGGTGCAGGTTAAAAAGTGTCAGTAGGAAGGAAGGCTGCCTGGCGTCTGTCCAAAGCCGCCTCTGCACAGATATACAAAATATTTTAGGAATCCATCAAAGGAAATCAGGGATGCAGCTAATATTTTATTCAAAGCACATATTGTCAGACTGTTTGCTCCACTAACTCTGCTGCATTTTAATTTAATGCTGTGATAATATGAAGGAGGAAAAATAAGAAAAACTAAATATTGGACTGGATTTGGTTGACTCCCCTGATATAAATTTGTATTAAGAAAGAATCTGATTTGGATCAAGAGCAAAAAACAAAACAAAACAAATTAGGACATGACTACTTTTCAACAAGAAATGTTAAATACAGAAGCTCTTTATGAAAGGGCCCATAGGGTGTCCCTCATAGGCTTCCATCCAAGTAGATAGATAGATAGATAGATAGATAGATAGATAGATTTTATTAACCCACGAAGGGAAATTGGGTCGTCATAGCAGCCAGGTACATTTAAATACAATAAAAAATACAATAGAATACAATAGAAATAAAAATAAATAAAATTACAACACAGGTAAGTCATTATCCGGACTTTAGTACAGAAAAGACCAGTGAAAACACCTGTAGTATGGTCGTTATTTGCTTCTTTTGTATCCTGAACTTTTCTTTGTCAGTGAATTTTAGTATGAAAAAGGGTAAGACCGGAAGCAGCGCGTTTTATTTTGAAATCTTCCACCGGACATGTAGTTTTTAATTCCGGCCGACTTGACACACCGCTGTAGTTCTTGTTGGGCTTTAGCTTGAACTTCATGTGGCAAAGTCCCGACAGTCTCGGAGGACCATGAGACGGTTCGGGGCGGCGGACGGCTCGAAGAGAACATATGAACGGCTGCTTGAAAGTTAACCCGAGCTAAGAGAGGCGGCCACCGCTGAGGTCGAGTCGAGCTAAAAGGAACCGAGCGAGCAACAACTTCTAACCCGAGCCAGTCGCACCTGGAGCGGGGAGACGACCACGGGGGAAAACTACTGGTTTTTACGTTTTACAGACTTCTTCTCACGCCGCAATGCTGAAGCTGTGCCTGCAGAGAGCTCTGGTACCGGCCGTGCAGAGGGTACCGTTTGGACCGGGACCGGCGAGGCTGCCGGGGATAGGGCGACACACACCGAGCTGCTCTCTGGGAACACACGGGAGGAACGAGCCGAGGGAGCCGCTCAACTCCCCCAAGAGAGCCAAAGAGTTCATCTACCGCCTCCAGGCGAAGGAGAGGAGCTGTTTACTGAAGGAGCTGCAGAGCTTCGAGTCCATAGCCATCGCTCAAGGTGAGAACAGCGCGGGTCAAAGGTGACAACAGCGCGGGTCAAAGGTGACAGCTGCCCCTAAGACCCGCTGAGGTTGAATGGGAGGTAACAGGGAGGAGACGCGAACCGATGTTTCCCCACCTTACTTATTCACCTGCACTCTTACACGCTTTTATTTCGGCTCTGGTTCGAGTGCAGACTGTTTTAAAGGAACTGGCAGGTGGGTTTTGTCCACCTGGAGGAGGAGGAGGAGGGAGGGCGGGGTGCAGGTGGGTGGAGACTGCAGACAGATGTGCCACACCTGCCACAGGTGAACCAAGTGTTGCTAACCCGCGGACTGGTTTGAATTAGAAGATGCTCTGTGTAGAAACTGCATCAACACTGGTAAAGCATGTAGACCTTTCTCACAGCAGCCATTTTGACATGAACTAGTAGGGTAAACACAGGTGTTTGCAATGATACCGATTGAGGCTGTGTTTACCCTGTTTCATGTCAAAGTGGCTGCTGTGAAAAAGGTATATTCTGTTGGGATTTGACTTATAGGCTTTAATATTAACCTAGGGTGTTGAAAAATAACGATTCAAATAACAATACGACATGTTGGGGGTCAAACATGTTTACTTACTTCTGGAGAACCCGACTGAAAACATGACACACGTATTGCAGTTTGGATAGTATTAAATGTGCACGTCTGTTGGAACCTAAAATATCAGGTAATTTACTTCAGTTGAGACTTGAGACTGAAAATAACAAAGTGTGAAACTGAAACCTTTTTAAATGTAGTACAAGCTGCTGAATCACCATTAGCACACAGGGCACATGATGACGATGGGCTCAAACATCAAATATAGATCCATAAGAACGTATATGGCTTATATATATATATATACCTCCAGTTGAGGAGCGTATCGTTGTGTCTCTGGTAACACAGCATTCACACTGTAATAACAAACAAATGAAATGACAATGAAAGTTTCTTTTTCACAGAACAAAGCTCCTTCCTCCTTTTTAACCAGCTGCAACAGAGGAGCGACCAGCATTGTTCAGGTTCCACACCCTCTGCTCAATTAGCACCAGTGGAGTTTTACTCATTCCACCAATCAATACTGGCACATAAAAACACATTTGAAACGTGTGTGTGTGTGTGTGTGTGTGTGTGTGTGTGTGTGTGGGTGTGAACAGGCAGGCGAGTGTGTAGCACGTGTGTGTATTTCCTCTTTGAGTCACGGTATTTTCTGGTAGCTTGAAAGGAAAAAAATAGCCTCCACATGAACGAAACCAGAGTGACTCATCGTAGGACTGAAATAGTGGAATCAGCTGCAGATTCAGGAGGAGAAAGATCTGAGTAATGTCCTCGGAGCGTCTTTGGGAGGGGACTCTCCGATTCCTGCCGAGGCCCCGGAACTTCAGGAAAACACCAAGTATCAGGGGCCAGACTTAGAGAAAAAATATTATTTTTTCGGGGAAATTACGAGAATAAAGTCTTAATATAACGAGAATAAAGTCTTAATAATAGGAGAATAATGTAATCGTTTTAATGAGAAAAAAGATCTGATGTGAGCAGCTCAACCAAACAGCAGCCTCAGTCTGAGCCCAGCAGCTGTTTGTCTCAGTCAGTACAGTTAAACTAACATATTCATCATTTCATCGTTAAACA